AGGATAGGTATACTCGGAAAAGATTAACGGTCGTTTAATGGCCGGTCAAAGTCTGTCAAAGTTCTGGTCAAAGGTGATAAAGATATGATCAACCATTTTACACATTTATCACCCTTTTAAAAAATTTTACAAAAATATCACCCTTTTCAAAATAATTACTAAAATATCATTTTTTTTTAAACATTTACGAAATTATCACTTTTTAAAAAATTACGAAAATAGCATCATTTTCAAAATAATTACCAAAATATCACCATTTTCAAAATAATTACTAAAATATCACCCGGTCAACGGGTCGGGTCTGGTTGGAACCGGTCAAGCCGGTCATTTTAACCCTCCCCACGCGTAGTGGCGGCGCGTGGGACACGTTCCGGCGTCAGTAAATTCACGAAAAAAATCCTAAAATTATTTTAAGCGATTTCGATGGACTTACAAAGCTCGGTTCACAATTTTGAAAGGTGGAGTGCTCGATTTCAACAAATCGGAAACTTTGACTGCTTCACCTCCTCACGCGCCGCTGTCTACGGAGACCAATGATGACACCGGCGAACTCAGAACGGCACAAGGAACACGTTGGTGCGGGAGGTGTCAAAAATCGAGCGATGATCGGTGATGAATTTAAGATTTTCTCAGTGATGGTGCTAAAAAAATGTCTAGACTTTGACTTGAAATTCACGACGTTTGGCAGCGTTTCACTTCAATTAACTTAAGGGGTTTGTTCCTCGCTCGATGATGAACACGATGGTGCTTTCAAAACAACGATCGGAGGTCGAATAACGTCGGGATTGTGGTTGGAAGTTGGGGCTTTGAGTGAGGAAATTTGGTGAAATTCATTCTGATTTCAGAATGAATTTCACGCTTATAATGCGTGTATGCCGACACTCCAGGGGTAAAATCAGGGTTTGGTCCCTAAATTTGCTTCATCTCTAAAATAAGCTACAAGTTTTAAAAACTTTCAATTTAGTCCACAATTTCACTAAATTACTTAATTAAATCCTCAAATTTCAATTAAATATATTTTATTTTATTTTTTAAATTTCTGGGTTGTTACAATAATAATTTTTTTATTGAAAGTGAAATAACCTTGACTAAATTCTAGAGAACAATGTCAAACTACATTACATTTAATTTTAATGTTTATAAATTTTAATTTATTTTGTTGTTAAAATATATGGTTGTTGTTATTTATATAAAGTTACACGATATTAAATTTAGGTGATGTAGAGCATAAATGAAATATGCAAAATACCAATTAATCTTAGCTAAAGAATGGTAATTAGCGGCGTTTGTTCCAAACACGCCGCTACAGATATGACCTTTTACGGCGTTTGTATCCAAAAACGATGCTATAGATCTGACCTTTTGCGGCGTTTGTTACAAAAAAACACCGCTATAAATCTAACCTTTTGCGGAGTTTGTATCCAAAAACGCCGTTATAGATATGACTTTGTGCAAATTTGTTCAAAAAACACCGCTATAGATCTCGACATTTTGCGGCGTTTGTATCCAAAAATGCCGCTATAGATATGACTTTTTGCGACGTTTGTTCAAAAAACGCCAATATAAATCTTGACCTTTTGCGCCGTTTGTATAAAAAATGTCGCTATAGAACTGACCTTTTACGGTGTTTGTTCCAAAAACGCCGCTATAGATCTTGACTTTTTGCGGCGTTTTTATTTCAGAAACGTCGCTAACATTAGCGGCGCTGGTATGGCCGGCGCTTCTTGCGGCGTTTTTACTTTAACTGCAACTGCTTTTAGTGACGCTTAAAACGCCGCTATATGACTAAAAAACGCCGCTAAAACTCTATTTTGCTGTAGTGATTGCAAATTAAGAGATATTCTTTTATTTGAATATTAGTAAGATAATTACTCTTTTAAATATGTCAAATTAATATGTATTTATTATCTATTTAACTTTGAATATTAAAAGATAATTATATACTTTGAATATTCCAATTTAAAACAATATCTATTTAAATTTTAATAGTAAAAGGAGTTTAAATCTTTTGAATATTTTAAATTAAAAGATATTATTATTTGTTTAAATTTTAATAGTAAAAGGAGTTTAAATCTTTTGAATATTTCAAATTAAAAGATATTATTATTTGTTTAAATTTGAATATTAAAAGTTATTTAGTTGGAGTAAATCTCTCTTGAAAATCCTTTATAAATATAGAGCTAATCTTCCAAGTTTTACGTATTTCAAAATTCAAGAACTTCATAAATCTTGAAAAATTCTTTTTCTCTCCTTAGTTTTCCGGTGATAGGCGAAGTCAAGAAATAGTTTGTGATCTCGAAAGTTTGTGTTGTTGTTCGAAGATCATCTAGTTGTTGTATCCTGGGAGACAGACGACCAAAAGATCTCCATCTCCAAAGGTGTGGCTGATAATCTATATTAAGGAAGCTATGTAGAGACATGCCTCAACTGTTTCTGATCGATTGATCAATCAAAAAGAGAATCGATAGCTAAAATAAAGAAACATTTTAACGGGAAAAAACATTTACACGAACAGCAGATAGACGCAACAAATAATAAGAAAAAAGTGAACTTCAAGACAAATATTTAGATTAACAAGAATATGAGACATTTAAAATTTAGTGTGAAGTTTCAATTAACCTTCGTCATATTACCACAATGACAATTATGGAAGTATGGAAGTGAATGAAAATTGTCATTCGAAAACAAATGGCAACAGCAGCAATTAGGACAAACCAACAAAGGGTAAACCTAAAAGGCAAAGCATAAAAAAAAACCTTAAGAATTCAAAAGCAGTATGGTCCGTAATTTGAATTCGAGGCATAGTCCTAATCATACATGCAACACAAAAGTAGAAGCAAAAACTAGAACTTAGAAGCAAAAACTAAAACTTCTACCGTCATGGCTTGAAAAGTAGATCACCCTTTAACAAACTATGTTTATTCAAACATGTTTCTCCCCTGAAATTCTGAGAATAAACTAGAACTTTCGTTTGTGTGCAAGCTTTGTCGGCGTTATGTTCACTTGTATGTCGGTTTGCTGCAATAGTTATAAAATGTTGACAGGTTAGAAGTAGAAGACATTGAGGAAGATCTCGACTCAAAAGTAATTATTCTATGGAGGTAAGAATGCTTAGCTTTGCTACAGAAAAATCAGAGTTTACCATTTCTCATTAAACTTAAAGCCGACAACCGAAAGGTGGTTGTAAAGGTACTTCCCGGAAGTGTTCCCTTTTGGTACTTGAAAGAAGAATATGAAGTGAAGAAGAATGAGAAGAAAACGTGGATTTTTTTAATTGCAAACTTAGACTTCCGTTAATGAGTTAACAAGAGTTAACGATTGAATGACTAAAATCTCATTAACAAGAGTTAACGATTGAATGACTAAAATCGAACACGCCGATAATATAAGGGACCAAACTTACAATTTTTTTAATCCAGTAACCAAAATCTGACGAATCAAAAATATAAGGGATCATCCATATAATTTATCCAATGAAAAATCTCAATGGTGTATGGTCTAAAATTTTTCCAATAATATATTATTGTTTTAATAATCTTTCTAAATTAAATCAATCAACTCATTATAAATTAGTATATAATATATATATATATATATATATAATAATGGCATATACAAAATATGGAGTAATTATATGTATAACTATTCTTATTTTCTTAATTTGAGTAACCAAAAAGAAACATTAAAATATTTGTTGAATATAAAATAATTTATATTTTATTCAATATTATTTCAAAATCAAATTTCAGCTACAAATTTAATTGTATGATTCTCGTATCGAAAACCCATTAATTCATTATAAAACTTAAATAAGTAAATAAACGAAATGACAATAAAAAAAAATGGAGTTCGATAAAACAGTCGGTTGGATTGGATATCAAAAAGTCAGGGTATTACATGTTTGTTAATTCAGAAATATTTATTAGATAGGTATACATATATTAACAATATAAATCCTTTATGTATTAGCGGACACAATCATTAAAATAAAATAAGAATTAATATAAAAAGTTTAATATCCAGAATAGGTACTTGGTCATCCTCAGGTCCAGGTAAATTCGCCAATAGCTACACTAGAACCAATTGTTCATCTACAAAAGGATCTACTACGATACTATAAACAATCATCTTTAGAGAAATCTGTGTACATCTCATACTTTGTGAAAATATATGACTGAAGAAATCTACGATCCTTAGAGAGTCAATTTACATTTTATGAGAACATATGAGAGGAGGAATCTACAACCCTAAAAATATATTGTAAGAATTATCTGACGCTTTATGAGAGAGAATATATGGCTTGGTTGAGTCTACGACCCAAAAAAAAAAACCATCCAAAGAGCCATCTCACGTTTTAAAGGAGCGACTCATCTCTAGAGATATCTATCATACTATGATTACCTGCCATTTCTAGATTCATACATAATAATTAACAATTGCCTCTAGATGGATTACTCTATAACAGTTAAATAAAATATAATGATAATTTTATAATTTTTAAAAATTTAGTAACCAAAACAAGCATTTTAAAATAGTTCAATAACTTCTAATGTACTTTTCCCTATTTTAATCTTAATCATAAATTAATTTGTGTACTTTATTATTTTTGAAATTTTATCTTGAAGAAGATTTTTTTACTCTAGATTTTTTTTCTCTTTTTAGTTTTACAAACTAAATTATATAAAACTCAATAAAGACTTTATCAATTCGGATTAGTTCAAATGGTAAATAATTTTATATCTCTTAAACAATGTTTCGAATTCAAATTGTTGTGTATACGAAAAATCCTTATTAAGAGATGAAATCTTAAAATTGAGAGAACAAAAAAATTAATAAAAACTTTATAATTATTCTTGTGTATACAAAAAAAAAATCTCTGCCATATGAAGCCTTAAATCGAAAGGGAAAAAAATCAATAAAGACTTTACAATCATTCTTAGGCTTGTAGCGTATATTTACAAATCCTAATTCTAAGCCTCATTTTTTCATTTTCTCTCAATACAAACATGCAAAGGCAATCCTTAGGCTATCCTACCTCCAAGCTCCACATCCATGGAGAAGAGATTACCGGAGCAGATGATCAGAAACGCCGTGTAATCATCGACTGCGAGGACCGCAAGGAGAGTAAGCCTCGCCCGTTGTCATTTTCGCCTTCATTGCCGTCGTTGTCGTCGCCTCCTAATAGTGAGAAGCTCATTCATCTCATTCCTGTTCTCACTCTCCTTTGCTTCCTCGTACTTTTCCTAAATTCTCACAGTCCTTCACAATCTGGTACGTTTTTCGTTTTTCTCGATCAACGATCAGCATACTTATCAGGATAGATTCCTCGAGTTTATTCTTCATCGTTTACTGTTATCTTTTTGCTTCAGATTTAGTTGCTTTTAACGGATTCAAGCATTCCTCAAAGCGTTTAGGTATAATGTCGTTTCAACTTACTTCTTCCTTGGGGGTGGTGCCTGTTTCCGAAAAATTGAGGGAGGGAAGACTACGGTGGTTTGGGCATGTCCTTAGGCGACTACCGTCGGATGCGGTCAGGAGGGTAGAGTCGATTACAGTCGACGGTGTTAGAAGGAGAGGACGACCAAGGCGGAAGTGGGAAGACTGCTTGAGATCTGATATGATGGATTTAGCCATTTCCGAGGACATGACCTCTGATAGGAAAGTATGGAGACTTAAGACTAGGGTAGTCGAGTAGTGTGGGTCACATCTTTAGGGTGTAACATCTCTGTCTTCTTATATTACCTTTGTAGTAATTTCCATGACTTCTACTTTTATACGTTTCTGTTATTGGTATTTATGAAGGCTTAGAACTGGGCTTGCTACCGTTGACTTCTGTGTATCATTCTCTTCACTTTTAAATTTAGTCGGGTCTTACTTTTCTATCTATATGCATAGATCTTTTTGCAGGGATTTATTTGCAGAGATTACTTCCCATTACAGACGCACATACGTTATTAATGATTGCATATGAATACTGTTCAATTATGTATTTATGTATTTAGTTATACATGCATTGCATTTTATCTATATTTTTATTTTTCTGACTGCCGGAGGTCTTCCACGAAAGCTACTCTCAACCTGGCGTTGGGGGCAGCTTACTACCCTACCTCCCCCTTACCCCATTGCATATGGGAATTGGGTTTTGTTGTTGTTGTTGTTGTTGTGTTCTTGACAGATTCACGCGAAATCAGCAATGTTCTGACGATTCGAAGCCAAAGGAATTTGCAAGAACTTGATAAGTACGTTTCGAAGTATCGTCTACACCGGAAAATCGCCGATTTCTAGGCAGCCTCCTTGAGCATCCCCTCGGCCGTTTATGTCTCTCTCCCTCTCTCTATTACGCAGTCTTCTTTTGTTCGTTCATGCTCTAGCTGACTACACGTGCCGGGCAATCTTGCACGCGCAAGGTTGCACGTGTAAATTTGAATTGCGTGTCAATTTGTTGGCTTGAGAAGCAAGTATCTTAGCTGGCGCTCTGATCAGTTGTTTTATTATCTTTGTTCACATAAAATATATTTATGTATATAAGTTATAGAAGAAAATAAATTGGAAGAAACTTTGAGATATATACTTTTAACAATTTTTGAATTCAGAAATAAGTATATATATTTAGTTGGTTAGTTAAATTATTTATTTTATTCTCTTATATTTATTTAGATTATTAATTTTAAATTCATTAGTAGTATTCTTATTATTATTTTAGAGTTTTTTTTTTCTCTTTTCGTCTAAATAAAATTATGATTAAATTTAAAATTTATTTAAAATTAATAATTCTTGAATTCATTAAACAATCCTAGTGGTTAAAATGATCTTAGTGTTTAGAGAATATGCTATTCTTTCTTGGAGTCTTGGATCTAATAATTACATTTATAGCATATACATATATTATCAATAATTAAGAATTTTTTTATCTGATACTATTTCGTAAATTATCATAAACTAAATAAAATAATTAAAATTGGCTAATGTGCACCTTTGAGGGGGTGTAAGTTAGTGAGGGTGGAATGAATACAGCTGGAAATTTGGGACTGTTATTGCTCCGAGTGATGTGGTTGGGGTTGGGGATGCCAGCTAGAAGGTTGTCTTGTAGGATCCTATTAACTGCTCCAACGGTGATAATCTTTACTCCTTATTTCGATAGTAATTTTGTTGCACGCCAGTATAATATAGATTAAGAAAAAAATATTACTGAAAATGTTAATATTTTTTAATATTTTTTATAAAATGTTATCTAAAATATTATTTTTTTATTAGAAATGTTAATTTCTTTAACTAATTTCTGGTAGAACTCAATATTAACATTTTCAGTAAAAAAATAATATTTTAGGTAGCGTTTTATCGAAAATGTTAAACATTTTAGGTAGCGACCAATATTAATATTTTCGGTAGAAAAATAATATTTTAAGTAGCGTTTTATCGAAAATGTTAAAAAATATTAACATTTATGGTAGCATATTTCATTAGTCGTATATTAAGGTTGTTGCACATGAGACATCTCTTTATTTCTTATTTTCTCAATTACACGCGTAATTAAAGATTTTTTTGTCTATTTTGATTCTAAAACTTTTTTTTAACTAATTTAGACTGACATATATTATACACTTAATTTTAATAGATGGATTTTTAAATAAAGATTTTTTTACATATAAAAAGATTCAAACTTTAGATTTTATTTAAATAATATCAAACTACTTATCACTTAAATTAATTGTTTGAATAATTAAAAAGTTCTTTGTTTAGTAATTAGTGGGTTATTGATGATTTTTAAGTTCCCTTTGATGGAGAAGCAACGCTGTTTGGATAAGTACGATGTGCACGCGTGTCAAAAGTTGAACAATATGGTTCGTCAACAACAAGCCACAAAAGTTGTCGGTTGTTACCCAAGGCTCTAATTGGTTCAATTACCTTATATTCCCTTTCTTCATGACTTTACTGTTTAGTAAAAGATCATAATAACTTTTTTGGGTAAAAAATCATGATTATTATTTTAACCGTGAAAAGGGATTTTTGTACAAATCAATGAGTGGGTCCCACAGATTTAGAGCCAGTTTACCATCACTTTTGAAAAGTATGGTTTAAAGTTAAGCTTAATACATTTTTATGTATATATCGAAATATAAGTTGATGTTTAAAAATTTTTTATTAAAAATAGGTGTTTTATATTATAATTGTAATTATTTTAGGTATAAGGACTATAATTTTCGTTAAATTTGAACGTAAAATAATACGTGTCATACATATAAAAATTTAAAAATTTTCTTTTTTAAAAAAACAATATCATAATTTAAAAAATCCAAAATTTTCTCAAATCTTAAGAAAAAACCCAGACCTTTGAAAAATCCAAATTTAATCCCTAAAATCCTTAATCTTTCCCGTAATTTGGTGAAACCTCATCAAAATCAGCCTTTTCCAACCAAATGTGGTATGCATCGTCGCCACCGTTGACATCATCGTCGTCCCGCGACCAAACCTGACCATTGGTTCACCCTCATCGACCACCATTTGTAAAAAATCATGAGTGATCACTTTATTCACCCCCAGTCTCTGATCTCAGCTATCATCACCGTCGATGACATCTGAAACGTCTTCTTGATCCGATCAAAACCCTATTGATCACACCCCATGAATTGCCGTCGAACACCATGGAGAACGTCACAAAGTTTTGAAACCCATGTTTTTTTTAAAAAAAAGAAAGCTTATTTTTTTAAAATAATAAAAATTTTATTTTAAAAAAATAAAAAAAAAATTTATAAGCTTGACACGTGTCAGATAACGGTCAAATTTAACGGCCAGACACCTAAAAGTATAACGGATAAAACGTTAGGTATATATTTCTAACAAAAAATTCTTTAAGTACCAAATCGTATTTCGAGATATAGTTTAGGCACTTAAAAGTGTTAAGCCTTAAAAATATTTTTAAGAAGTATTTTTTATGTTATTTGATAGTGTTTAATATTATTATTAAAAAGTACTTTTAAAAATATAAATAATCATTTTAAACATGAATTTATAATTTAAAAAAGTATATATTTAAATATTTTTATAATTGTTTTTAATATTATAACATATAAAATATATCAATTTTAATTTTAATAATATAATAAATAATATTTTTTTTTAAATATTTGTACGTACTATATGAAAATATATAAATCTTTCCATCCAAAGTTAATGTTGGCGGTGGAGGCAAAAATGTCAAATTAACAGTCAAATGCTTAACTAGATTGAGCTTACGGTTTGGATTAAGTTTTTCTTTAAATAATTTGGAATGATTATAAAATACTATATTTTAATAATTTTTTTAATTATTGATAATTTATATCATATAAATATAATTGTTTAATTTCAAGACTTAAAAAATAATTTTTTTTATAATTGAGACCGCTAAATAGATTAGGTTCTATGTGAAGTTGAAGTTGATAAATATAGTTTAGTTTCATTGGGACAATGATTTCTAAACTTGAGACATTATATAATAACACATCAACAAAACTATTGTAGGAGATTAATGATGTTGGTTCATGTAGTAAGTAACTGGATATCACTTAAATAAATTTCGAATTCTTTTGTATATAAAAAATTTCTATTGAAAGACTCACTAATCAAAAAATAGATATACAATTTAACATAATTCAGATTAATTAAAGTAAAATCTTGAGAACCGGAGGGGATACCTTGTCATTTGATCTTCATTTTCACAGCCTTTCACTTTCTTAAATTAAATATAAACAATAAAGCATTTGCAGATCAGTTCGTGCGTAGGGTAGGGTGCTGTCGCCATTATCCTGTGTGACGCTGTCTCCTTTGTAATTTTAGGATAAATTAGACAATTAAATACCTCAACTATTACTTTTGTTTTTTTTCGGCTACCTAATTATTTTCTTCAAAATCATACATAATATTTAGTTATAGTTTCATTTTGGTCATCATCCGTTAAAAATTAAAAGAAATATTGATGTGTCAACAATCACCATAAGGTAATATCGTGTCATTATTAAAAAAAAATCACGTCAGTAGTTTTGTTATTTTTTAACGGTGAGCGACCAAAATGAAATCAAAATGTAAAATTAGATATAATTTAAAAAAAAATAATTGAATGACTAAAACAAAACAAAAATGATAATTGAGATATTAAATATGTAGTTTACCCTAATATAGGGCTTGTTTCCTTTTCCTTTTCTTATTCTTGTTCTTTTATGGAGTTCAACCACAATGATTGGGAACCATTTTACATAATTAAACATATCTATTTAGCTTGCTTCCTTTTTTTATTCAACTTTAAAGTTTTAATTTATTTTAGTTCAATTTTATTTTAAATTTAATAACAAAAATATATTTAATTTGAATTTAAACTGATTTTGAATACTAAATGAATAAAAATAAATAATTTAAACTTAAAGTATCCAAGAACAAAAAATAACTCAAATAAAAATATCCAATAATATAACTTATATGGAAAAGATGATCATGGATCGAGTTAGGTCAAACTTTTGGTCTATCTAAGCTTGATCTCCAAAAAATTAAATATTTTCACTCATATTCAACTCGATCGAGTTAAGAGTGTCTCATCTGACCTAAATTTGATTTGATTTTTGAGATCAAAATTTATATTTGACTCAACCTAATCTAATAATTCGTTTTTATTAGGTAAAATAAGCACCTAATTGAAAAATATATATAAATATTATTATTATTATTATTATTATTATTATTATAATTACCCCTAAATATAAAATAAATTAATATAATATTATATCGAACCAAATTGGATTTTTTTCACCCTAAATCTAAAAGCAAACTAACCACACGCTTAAAAAAATCTTAATCTAATCTAACCTCCAAACTCAAAATTTCAAGATAAATTTTTATTCAACTAAGTTAAATTAAATCAAATCAAAACTCGTCATATTCATCAATATGAGCAACCCGTGACGATTGTAGTAATGGGCCCATGTGCTTTTGTGGGCATATGTTTTAGATATACCGAGTCGGATTAGTTTGGGATTAAGTCCATTATGTTACTTTTCGAATAATTTTATGTTTATGTACTTTTAAATTTGGGTTTATTTTAAGTTTTATTTATTATAATTTTTGAATCAAAATTTTATGTTGAATTATATCAAATTTTTTATTTAAGTTTTTGTAATCAATATAAGTTTTATTTTACTGGTTGAAATCATTTTAGCTAAATTAAGAAAACATTGGAAATCTATGGGTTTAAAATAAGACATAATGATATAATTAATCCCCAATATTTATTAAAATGTTCATTTTGGTCCCTATTCCTTTTCTGGAGTACTTTGACCCCTAACTTTTCATTTTAGGGAGAGAATAGTCACTTTGACCATTATTCTTTTTTTTTTGAAGCATTTTGCCTCTAACGTTTCATTTTAGGATAAAAAAAATCCTTATTTTAGAGCGTTAACTGTTTGCTAACTTTTGATTTCCATCCATGGGGGCC